TCCTGCCTCTGCCTCCCAAGTAGCTGGGACCACAGGCGCCCGCCACAATGCCCAGCTATTTTTTGGTTGCAGCCATCATTGTTGTTTGGCAGGCCAGGCTGGATTCTAACCTGCCACCTTAGGTGTATGTGGCTGGCGCCCTAGCCGCTTGAGCCACAGGCGTCAAGCCTGATTGTACTTTTCAATGGCATAAAAATAGAAACAAACTGATTTATTTATATAATTTAATAGCAAAAATGAATGACAGACACATATCAACCTAAGTAAATCTCAAAAGCATAATGTCAGGTAAAAACTACCAGTTCAATACAAATGCATGTAGTATGATGTCTTTTAGGTAAACTTTAAGCATACACAGAAATAGCTTGTGTTATTATTGAATACATTTATTGTTATAAAAGTATTAAGATCATTGTTAATGGTGACTTAAAGAAAGTGGTTATGGAAAAAGGGGCAAGAGGCTTGGTGCCTGTAGCTCAGTGGTTAAGACACTAGCCACATGCTCCCAGGCTGGTGGGTTCGAACCCGGCCCCAGCCTGCTAAACAACAATAACAACAACAAAAAAAATAGCCAGGTATTGTGTTGGACACCTGTAGTCCCAGCTACTTGGGAGGCTGAGGCAAGAGAATCACTGAAGCCCAAAAGTTGGAGTTTGCTGTGAGCTATGACGCAACGTCACTCTACTGAGGGTGACATAGGGAGACTCTGTCTCAAAAAAAAAAAAAAAAGAAGAAGGAAAGAATTCAGTGTTGTAGCACATTTTTTTGGTTTTATAAGGGAAAAAGTAAAGGAGATTTAAGAAAATAAAGCTGAGGCAAGAGAATTGCCTAAGCCCAGGAGTTGGAGGTTGCTGTGAACTGTGTCGGCAAGGCACTCTACCAAGGGGGATAAATTGAGACTCAGTCTCTAAAAAGAAAAAAAGAAAATAAAGCTGAGAGTGGTGGCATGTGCTTGTAATCCCAGCATTTTGGAAGGCTAAGCCAGGACTATTGTTTGAGGCTAGGAGTTTGAGAAGTATCTGGGCAACACAGTGAGACCCTGTCTCTAAGAAACAAAGAGAGAAATTAGTGAGGCATGGTGGTAGGCACCTGTGGTCCCAGCTACTCAGGAGGATCACATAATCCCAGAAGGTTGAAGCTGCTATGACCTATGATCACACCACTGCACTCTAACCAGGCCACAGAACAAGACCCTTTCTCTATAAAACAGAAAGAGGGAGAGAGGGAGAGAAGAAGAAAGAGAGTTCGAAGGGTGCGGTGACTCACACCTGTAATCCTAGCACTCTGGGAGACCAAGGCAGGTGGATTGCTTGAGTTCAGGAGTTCGAAATTAACCTGAGCCAGAGTGAAACCCAATCTCTACCAAAAAATGGAAAATTAGCCAGACATTGTGGCAGGCACCTGTAGTCCCTGTTTCTTAGGAGGCTGAGGCAAGAGACTCTTTGAGCCAAGAGTTTGAGGTTGCTGTGAGCTATGACGCCATGGCACTCTACCCAGAGTGACAGAGGGAGACTATCTCAAAAAAACAAAAAAGAAAAGAAGAAAAGAAAAGAAGGCAAAATGTTAGTGTCGGTCTTGAAAGTGGGTAAATAGCTCTTGATATTTATTTTAAACATATATGCATGTATGTTCTCTCTTCAAGTATTTTAAGTATTACTGAATTATAGAAGTTTAAGAATTAGCTTGCAGATTTTTTACAAGTAAAAGGTAAATTGGCCTTATGAACCAATAGTTGTACTCTTAGAAAAAATAAAAACATTGATAACCAATATTGTTAACACAGCAGCATGAATGAATCTCTGAAAACATTGTTAGGCCAATAAAAAGTCAGGCACAAATGAATATATATTGTATATATGATTCCACTTAAAAAGAAATGCTGATAAAAATCTAGATTAGTTGCCTCTGGGTATAGAAGACTTACTGAAGAAGAGGGTGCAAAGGAACTTTCAGAGTGATAGAAAGGGACTGTATCTTAGGAGAGAAACTAATCTCTTATTTTATTCCTCCTGAAACTATTTGCTTCCTTTTTTTGGTAGGTGGTGCTTTCTACACAGCAGAGACTAGTGAAAATGCAAAGTGGCATTATTACAACTCCTGGGCACACATCCTTCATGCTACAGCATTGTGGCTTACAAGCACAGGCTTTGTTGTTGCTGACCCAGATGAAGGAGCATCTGATCTCTCAAGGCCTGTAACACCAACTTCCATGTGTCAGAGTTCATCATCTGGGACTACAGTAAAGTCCCCTGAGGATGTCTACACTGATAGATTTCATCTTATTTTAGGTCAGTAAAAGAGCTTACAAGGTTACACTTAGAGGGGATTATTCTTAAATTTTGCCTCATGGCCTTTTTCCTCTTGGGGGCTGTCATTTTATTCTTTGTTAGGTGTTAGCGATCGTTTTGACATGTATACTGAGTAAACTTATGTACCAGATGTATATGACAGATTTTATTAGTTTAAGTCTAGAACCCTATTACGAGTTGACCTAAGAATCGAATCAAATCAAATTATGGAAATTGTAGGAGAAGGCTCTGTTTCCACATTCCACATGACTTTCAAAAGATTCTTGTGAAGTTTCTCAACACATAAAATATCAGGCTCAGCGCCTGTAGCTCAGCCACATACATCAGAGCTGGCAGGTTCAAACCCAGTCCAGGCCTGCCAAACAACAATGACAACAACAATCAAAACATAGCTGGGCATTGTGGCAGACGCCTGTCGTCCCAGCTACTTGGGAGGCTGAGGCAAGAGAATCACTTAAGCCCAAAAAGAGTTAGAGTTTAAGGTTGAGCTGTGACACCAGGGCATTCTACTGAGGGCAACATAGTGAGACTCTGTCTCAAAAATAAAAAAATAATATCACTGTACTGAGGAGTTTCCCCCTTGCTGTCAAGGATTGAAAGAGTCTACAAAGTGGATTCAATAAAAGATTAAAGATTACTGAGATTTTTCGATTTATGACATTTAACCCATTTTTTTAGCCTTCCTATAACTTTATATATTTTGGGCGGTGGGGGTAGTTTGAGACAGAGCCTCAAGCTGTCCCCCTGGGTAGAGTGCCATGGCATCAAAGCTCACAGCAAGCTATTACTTGTAATCTTTAAGCAAGGCATAAAGAGACTTCTTGGATACAGGAATTTGTGTACAAACCTCTGCTCCCATGTAGGCCTTAGGCCTTAAATCAGAGGGTTTTGCTGGAACCTTTTATAAGGAATTTTCAGGCTTGACTTCTCAAAAGCCTTTCATGAACCCAAGTTTCTTTCTTTTTTTTTTTTTTTTTTTTTGAGTCAGATCCACGGTGCCCACCACAGTGCCTGGCTATTTTTTGGTTACAGCCATCGTTATTGTTTGGTGGGCCCAGGCTGGATTCAAACCCACCAGCTCAAGTGTATGTGTCTGGCACCTTAGCCGCTTGAGCCACGAGCCCAAGTTTTATCTGTGCCTTCAGATACCTATATGCATTGGGTAAATTACTCTTCTCTTGAGGTCCCCGAGCACATTTCCATTCCTGGACCTGTCAGCAAGCAACCTTCATCACTTACCACAGATCAGGAAAGATTACTGATGGGTATCTGGCCAGTTCCCAAAGGGCCTTTTTTATTGGGCTTACAAAGTCAACCTTAATTCCTTCACACAGTCTGGACATCTCTGGAAATGCCATTCCAGCCAGAGCCTTGGTCAAGTTAGGCCCGCAACCAACCTGGCCATATGGGATTCTGCCTCAGTTTCTCACAAGTATGCCTGCACAAAGTCTTTTCACTGCTCTCTCTCAAATGGCTTTTTTGGCCAGAAGCATCTAGGCGTTTCACTGTGTACTCATGTCTTTGTCTAAAATCGAATATTAGGCTCAGCACCTGTAGCACAGTGGTTGCGGCACCAGCCACAATACACCAAGGCTGGTAGGTTCGAACCCAGCCCAGGCCAACTAGACAACAATGACAACTGCAACACAAAATAGCCAGGCGTTGTGGTGGGTACCTGTAGTCCCAGCTCTTGGGAGGTTGAGGCAAGAGAATTGCTTGAGCCCAAGAGTTGGAGGTTGCTGTGAGCTATGATCCCGTGGCACTCTACTAAGAGAAACACAGTAAGACTGTCTCCAAAAAATAAATAAAATAATAAAATAAAATAAAACTTGTGCTTACTTCATCAGGTATTGTGAGTATGTAATAGAATGACATGTGTAAAGCATACTGCCTGGTACATGATAATCATGCAATAAATTTTAGACAAAATAAAAGTTATAGGCTCAGTGCCCATAGCTCAGTGGTTAGGGCACTGGCCACATACACCTGGGGTGCCGATCATCTATACTGGTTTGAACTCAGCCTGGGCCAGCTAAACGACAATGACAACTATGACAAAAAAATAGCTGGGCATTATGATGGGTGCCTGTAGTCCTAGCTACTTGGTAGGCTAAGACAAGAGAATTACCTAAGTCCAAGAGTTTGAGGTTGCTGTGAGCTGTCATGCCACGGCACTCTAACAGGGGCACCATAGTGAGACTCTGTCTCGATAAAATAAAATAAAGTTATAAAACTCTGTGTGTCAAGTTCTTTGGAACAATTTCATTGCAATTTTTACATCTTTGAAATGTTTCACAGCAACTAAGCAACTAGTGTACAAGCCCAGTTGAGGTTATTCGTTGTATATTATAGATAAAAATAAACTACTAAAGACTTGTCATACCACTTAACTGTCTAGAATATTAAATTCATTGTGATTTATTTGCATGACGTTTTTGCTAAGCTTATGTATACATCTTGTCAAAATAGAAGATTAACAATTGGCTGGCTGCCCATAGCTCAATGGTTAAAGCACCAGCCCTGTGTACCAGGGATAGCAGGTTCAAACATGGCCCAGGACTGCTAAACAGAAAAAAAATAAAAAGAAGAAAATTAGTTATTAAATTAAGACTCTCAATAAACCCTCCTTCTCTTTTTTGCTTTCCACAGGAATCAGTGTGGAATTTCTGTGTTCTTTACGCTCAGATGCAACCATGGAAAGCATTACTGCTTGTTTAAATGCATTGCAGGCACTTCTAGATGTTCCTTGGCCCAGATCTAAAATTGGCAGTGATCAGGTGATTTCTTGGGGGGTTTGGTAAGGCTTCTGTAGATATTAAGGAACAGAAACATGTTTAGGTTACTACAATGAAAACAATGTGAACACAAATTAAAAAAAAAAAACTAAACAGCTGTGCAGCTAGGCCTTGTGATCCAGAATGCCATCAGCATATGTGGTAACCCAGGAGCAATCAGCCTCTGACTCCGCCTCTGCTTTTTTCTGTAATGATGGGGAGGTTCTATATTACGTTATCCAGAACAGTAGCCACTAGTTATAGATGGCATTCATTTCTTTGTCTCTTTCTGCTTCTGTGCATCCTTCTCTTTGTATGTCTATAACTTATATTTCATTTTCCCAAAAGAGTCTAATTGGTTTGTGTGATTACTATTCATTGCACAGTATTATTTTTGGCTAAATTCTCCCTCCAGGTCCACTCCAAGAAACGGCTGACTAGCCTGTAGAGTTAGGCACTAAGATCTGACTCATTTGTGGCCATGGTAGAAGGATTGCTGTATAAAGTATGGTGCTTCCTTTGACTGATTTTCTCAAGAGCAAGTATGCAGGCCAAGCACAGTGGATCACTTGAGAACAGGAGTTTGAGACCAGCCTGAGCAAGAGTGAGGCTAAAAATAGAAAAATTAGGCAGACGTGGTGGCAGAGGCCTATAGTCCCAGCTTCTTAGGAGGCTGAGGCAAGAGGATCAATTGATCCCCAAAATTTAAGGTTGCTATGAGCTATGATGCCCTGGGTACTCTAGCCCAGGCAACAAAGTGAGACTCTGTCCCTGCCCCCAAATAAACAGAATAAGTATACATTTGAACAGATTCTCTTAACATCATGTTTAATCTAGTATGTTATTCTTATTGTTGACTCTTAGGTGGTAAGATAAATGGGTAGCATAATTTCTTCTCTACATAGACTATTATTTAAGTTTTAAACACTAACATTTCTTAGGTTTAAAATACCAGGTTTCTACCCAACTTGGATTGGACTTGAGTAAATCTTAAACTCTTTGGGCTTACTTATTTTCTCTGTATATTAAAACAAATATTATAACAACAGATTTACTTTGTTATTTTCTTTTTCTTTTTTCTTTTTTTTTTTTGAGATAAGTCTCACTGTGTCACCCTGTGTAGAGTGCTGTAAGTGTCACAACTTACAGCAACCTCAAACTCTTGGGCTTAAGCGATTCTCTTGCCTCAGCCTCTCAAGTAGCTGGGACTACAGGTACCCACCATAACACCTATTTTTTTTTTTTTTTTGAGATGGAGCCTCAAGCTATCCCCCTGGGTAGAGTGCCATGGCTTCACAGCTCAGAGCAACCTCCAACTCCTGGGCTCAAGTGAGTCTCCTGCCTCTGCCTCCCAAGTAGCTGGGACTACAGGCACCCGCCACAACGCCTAGCCATTTTTTGGTTGCAGCCATCATTGTTGTTTGGCGGGCCCGGGCTGGGGATTCGAACCCGCCACCTTAGGTGTATGTGGCTGGCGCTTTAGCCGCTTGAGCCACAGGCGCGGAGCCAACACCTATTTTTTGTTGCAGTTGTTTAGCTGGCCAGGGCCAGGTACAAACCCACCACCCCAGGTGTATGTGGCTGGCCCCGTAACCACTGTGCTACGGGCACCAAGCCTACTCTGTTGTTTTCAAAGAAGAAAGCAAGCATCCAGTATAAACAATAAAAAAGAGAACAGAGAATGGAATAGTATTTCTCCAGGGTGTTTTATTCTTCAGAGAGCTGTCCATTCTATGCTTGTTATTTTGCAGTTCACCTTTAATGCCATGTTCTCTCATTTTTTATTATTAATAGAAAACCTTAATATAAGTGTAGGAATCAATCAGATGCAATAGCTCACATCTGTAATCCAACCCTTTGGGAGGCTAAGTCAGGAGGATTGCTTGAGCCCAAGAGTTTGAGATCAGCCTAAGCAACATAGCAAGACCCCATCTCTACAAAAATAAAAAAATTAGCAAGACTTGGTCACACACACCTATAGGCCTAGCTACTTGGAAGGCTGAGGTGGGAAGATTACTTGCGCTCCAGAGTTCAAGGTTGCAGTGAATAGTTCAAATCACAGCTACACCACTTCACTCCAGCCTGGGCAACAGAATGAGTCCCTTAAAAAAAAAATCAAGGCTCGGAACCTGTAGCTCAAGCAGCTAAGGCGCCAGCCACATACACCAGAGCTGGCGGGTTCAAATCCAGTCTGGGCCTGCCAAACAGCAATGGCAACTGCAAGCAAAAAATAGCCAGGCGTTGTGGCAGGCGCTTCTAGTCCCAGTTAGGTGGGAGGCTGAGACAAGAGAATCACTTAAGCCCAGGACTTTGAGGTTGCTCTGAGCTGTGAAGCCATGGCACTCTACCCAGGGCAATAGCTTGAGGCTCTGTCTCAAAAAAAAAAAAAAAAGTAGGTATCTACATGTTAGCCTTTGCATTATTTTAGCCAAATAATCAGATGTTGTCTTGGAAATCATTCTTTTCTGTTTTCCCAGTTTAAGTACCTGTGTGAAAATGATCTTTTGTCATTTTGACAAAAAATCTGGAATTGGTTTGAAGTGGAACAAGTGTCAGATAACTTCATTGTGCTAACATCTTTATTTTATATTACTAATTTGTTAGATTCGTTTTTTTCTGAATTTCATCATGCATTTAACATTGATATTTTTTACCAAAAAAAAAAAAAGTGTAATTACCGAAACAGTGTCTCTCACTTGTTTTCTGTGATAGGACCTGGGTATCGAGTTGCTGAATGTGCTACATAGAGTAATTTTGACCAGAGAATCACCTTCTATTCAATTGGCTTCACTTGAAGTGGTAAGACAGATTATCTGTGCAGCTCAAGAACACGTGAGGGAGAAAAGACGAAGTGCAGAAGGTAAATGTTAACCCTTAATGCCAAATTAACCATATAACATTGTTATTTTTTAAAGTATTATTTAATGTATCTATGTGGTTTTGATAATCTGTTTTGTATAGTAGAGACAAAATCTAGGCATGGCTTTAAATTTAAATCAGTGGTTCTCAACCTTGCTAATGCCACAACCCTTTAATACAATCCAAAGGGGTCGCGACCCACAGGTTGAGAGCTGCTGCTTTAAATCCCCTCTCCAGGCTGGGCGCCTGTGGCTCAAGTGGCTAAGGCGCCAGCCACATACACCTAAGGTGGCGGGTT